CGTCTACACAATATGATAGGGTCAGTTGGGTACAGTATTTGAGAAAAAAAGGCACCATGGCGCAATTCACTTCGCCAGAAATTTGGAAACGGTATGATGTACTGCTTGGCATTCGCACCAGTATGTCCAATACGAAGATTTTAATTTGTTTGGGTGTCAATGTGAGTACAATGCAGATGATGCGGAAAGGGTTGAGTTAGTCTAATGGTGATTACGAAGTTGTTTGGAGAGATCACTAATGATGGTGAATAAACAGACTAAATATAGTGGCCTACATCAAGTACCTTGAAGAAGTGATGCTATCTTGAATCAAGGGGATGGCTTGTAACAGCAAAAATGAATTTAAAGCACGCATGATGGCAGCAATCACCAACTTAAAAAGGAGACCGTCCAGAAGAAATGCAGGAGATTCCGAAGTCGTCTGAAGGCCGTGACTGAAGCTAACTGGGATTTTATTGAATAAAATTCAGTATTTCAAGATATTTTTATGTAATTTTGTTGAATATATTAGTTGAAACGAAATATTAGTGTTATTCTTATTTTTGCGTAATTTAGACGACAGTTTATCCATCGCACTCTATTGTACAGACACACACTCATATATATATATATATATATATATAGTCAGTTTTTGAAATGTGTTATATAGTATATGTATATATATGTTAGTGTTATTTTTGTGTAATTTAGACGACATTTAATCCATCGTTCCCTGTTGTACAGACACACACTCATATATATATATATATATATATATATAGAGAGAGAGAGAGAGAGTCAGTTCTTGAAATGTGATATATATATATATATATATATATATATAGAGAGAGAGAGAGAGAGAGAGAGAGTCAGTTCTTGAAATGTGATATATATATATATATATATATAGTCAGTTCCTGAAATAGAAATGATTCAATTAACTATCTAATTAACATCCGTGCTACATTAGCGACAAGTCCGTAAGTTATTGGTTAATAAATTACATTTTATATAACACGGCTGAAAAGCCATTAATATATACGCTCTCATGAATTTATCTCTTCAAAAGAAAGCGTCTCCATTTATAAATAAGTTTCTCTTTCTTTCTCTCTTTCTTTTTCTCTTTCTCTCTCTCTCTCTCTCTTACACACACACGTGCATATATATATATATATATATATATATATATGAGTATTTTTAAGTAGGAATTTGTATTTTTAAACTTAACCCTATCTATATAAATTTAAAAAAAACCCTTTACGTTCCTCTCTTAGCTTCATATTTACACTTTATTCTTCATATAAACCCAATTCAATGTCATAAGGTTAATATCCAATTTTAATTTTAAAAAAATTATTTTTAAGGCTAACACCTTCCACTCTCCCCTGACCTCTGTCTCGTGCCTTTCGTCTGACTGAAACATTGAAATGGATAAATTCTTTTTTAGTTTTTCGACAGATGTCACAGTTAAATTTCTAATTCTGAACTCAGTCTATATACCGGGGTTGAATAAGTGACTGACGAAGTTTTCGTCGCTTGAAATAGGTCTATACCCCATATGAAGTAATTATGGATTTTATTATGTACTAATTTATTTGCTCTGTAATAATAAATACATTGAGTTCTTTTTGTTGATCAGTTTTAATATTTTATATGACTAGGATCTACTTGGATTATATACCAACGTATTTATTACTCTTACTCTCACTCTCTCTCTCTCTCTCTCTATATATATATATATATATATATATATATATATATATATAATAAGAAGGCTTAAACACTAATATTCCATGGTCATAATTTATTCCATTGGAATCGTAAATACGATCCAATTCATCAGACCTACAAATTCTGGTAAATATACACATACATATGCAAAATATATAAATATATATACATAGATGCATACACATATATATATATATATTGAATAAAAAGTTCCAAGAGGATAGAATCCAGGTAGAACTCAGTGTCCAGGACAGAGTAAGGATATAATAAAAAGGCCTTTTTATATATATATATATATTACGCAGTATATAATATTATTTTCATCTATCGCCTTGAATATTCGAAAATATAACGTTAAAGTAATAAAATCTAATAAATAAAAAGCCAACACTTCTTTAGAATTTTTTTTTTTTTAGTTTCGGATAGGAAATTGTCCATATATAGATGTCTGGGAAGTCTTGGTAAGACTTGCGTTCATAAGGCACTATTCAATGCCATTTTGTCGACAGTGCACTCTGGGAATTTGTTGGCAGTCTTTCCTCTCAAGAGAAACGCAGGTTCAAATCCTGTCGGAGAACACACAATTTTTCTTTAATGAGATTCTCTGAATATTCATGTCGGTAGACAAAATTAAATACGAATTTTGCTTAATAAAGAAACGAGGCGTCTAGTCAAGTATGGGCGCCCACAAAATAGCGTTTAGTTAACAAATTTTATCTGATTAATAAATTATAAATTAATCACTTCTTTATATATTTTATTTTCGCCCACAAAAAAAAACGAAAAACCCTAAACAGGAAATTTGATAGATTATTTAATTGTTGGAATGTTCATTACAGTTATTTGAAACAAAAGGAGAAAAATCTAGTCGCTTAAAACAAATCAAAAACACAAATGTTAAATGTTGTGTTCAAACTAAAGAATTCTGGCAAAATTTCTTGCCATTTTTTCAGTCCCCAAGTTAGATGTTCCTCTTTAAAGAGAACAAACATCGAGCGTTGAAAATTTGCTGTCTCATCCTGGAACAACAAATGGTTAAAAAAATTATAGATTAGTTAATTTTTTTAGTTCATTCATATAGTAAAATATTTAGTTAATTTTTTTCATATGTTAATCAATTCTTTTTCATCATATAGTAAATCTAAAATTTACTGGATTTTGTAAAAGTACCCTGTATTATATATATATATATATATATATATATATATATATATATATATATATATATATATATATATATATATATATATATATATATATATATATATATATATATTGATTAAATAATATTTATGTTAGTCACACCACAAACTCGGTTACACAACTCTTGACTCTACATTTGAATGATAACTCTAACATTTTTTAGGCATTTAAAACAACATGCCTGGCTGCATACACAATTCCAGAAAATCCTTGTTGAAAACGCAACATGAAAACAATAGACAAAAACTAAAAATTCTTGAAGCTATATACATAAACCAGTTGAAACTACGAAATCGTCAAATATTCTTAAATGTCTATAATTGATAACAGAAGCCATTGGTTTATACCAACGGCTTCCCATACTTAATACTTCTCGTTTTCACTCTCACATGGTCATGTGTGACGTCACAAGCTGCGACGCGATTTACGCTTTTTTGATTGTTTTAAGCGACTAGATTTTTCTCCTTTTGTTTCAAATAATTGTAATGAACATTCCAACAATTAAATCTATCAAATTTCCTGTTTTGGGTTTTTCGTTTGTTTTTTTTTTTGTTCCTTCGTCAACTCACCGGAGCACTCGAGAAAACTTAATAAATAAACTTAGGCCTCCGACAGGATTCAAACGTGCGCCCCGCTTTTGCAAGAGATAAATTAAAGATAAATAAGAACCTTGTTTGATTGCGAAGCCCTCCACAGGCGAACTAGACTGTGGTTTCTTCTGCAAAGCGGATGGGGGTCAGCTTCGAATTTTACCGGAAGACACATCTTTTTTATTAACCTACGAGTGCCCACGATAGAAGACGAAATAAATTCAGTTAAAAAAAAAAAAAAATAGCGAAACGTCTGCTCAAATACGGAAAGGTGGTTGACTGCTAAGTGTTGCAAGATTGGGTGTGGGTGTGGGTGTGGTGTAATGGGTAATTCCTCGGAATTGTTAAGCGGAGAGCCGAGTTCAAATTCCACTTTGGCTTGTCATATTCATTTACGCGCAAATACTGTTGGGAAACGTAGGATTCCACCTCTTCTCCTCCAGCTATGGGTTCATCAGTAAGAGTCTTATTTTGCCATTATTTAAAATTTTAAAAGAATTATCAATCATAAATAATAAGTTTTCCTTCTTTATTTCAAGAGGTTGTTTTTTTTTTTAATGTCATACACCAGGAAATAAGCAGTCATGACTTTCCACGAACCGTTCTGGGTAAGACGATAAACTACATCCGACAACAATACCTTTGATCAGAAGGTTTTGAGTAGCGTGGAGCCATCTCTTAGTTTCTGGTGTTCCCAAGCCCGCCCTAGGCCGGGGTGCTAACACCTATTAGGATCACAGCTACGGGCAAATAGTTAACCCCCAAAATGGGTCGAAACACTATGAAAGTATAAAAATAGATTTTCACACCAGCAATATTTTAAAAAATATTACCAGCAATACATTTCTGAAAAAAAATTACTAACAATATATTTTTGAAAAAAAAAATTACCAGCAATAAAAATCTTAAATAACCCATTGAGGTGTTGATATGCCGTAAAGTAAAATAAACCTTTCCACGGATTCGCCCTCTTTATTGTCTCTGCATTTTGGGGGACTATACTGGAGAGGTTTCCTGTTGCCTCCTCCACAGTCCGAAATTCAGAGGATTTCTTCTCTTAGACTGGTTACCAATCAAGGATAGAGAGACAAGTTTACAATGCTATTTAACAAAAGAAGGGAAAAAGATGGATATATGTCTTGCTCAAGAGTATTTTTGCGAAAGTAAACGCAGGATATGAACTCTGCTCCCAGATTCCAATTTCGTTTCTCTTACATATCATTTGCTATTACCGACAAGAAACAGCGAAATCTGCCAAACATAAATCCGCTTTGCTGGATCGGGAAATCCGTTGTCTCCGGATCTGGCTAATTCCTGAAATTGAAAGTTTCCTTATTTAGAAAGAAAAAAAATGGAGACGTTTCGTGCTTTGCATATCACTGCTGTCTTTTAAAATAAAACGTTTCTATCGATCGTAATGTCTATTTTATTTATATTATTCTATCTGAACCTGTCGGAATATTGTGAGTGTTGACAAGTAAGATTTGCCAATATTTTATGTACGTCTGTTCTGGTCCTAACACCATTTGCCTTTATCCTCCCATTCACTCTCCCCTATCCCCAAAACTCAGAGATCATCAGATTTTTTTTTCACACAGGGCAGAGAGAAAGACAGACGCGGAACGGGTAACCATTTTGTTCGACACAATATACTGAATACATAAAAAATAAAGACAACATATTATTTCCAAAAATTTATCAAAGAAGGCGACATTAGCAATAAAATAGTTATATCTACACCCAGTCCTCTCATATCCGAATCTCATAAACTCAGTTAAGTTAGGTGTCATGCGTGATACACACTTAAGCGGTCATGTACATACATGACTGACGAGGCTGATTTTTTTCCTGTAGTAGGTTGCCATTTCTTTCTGCGGTAGACCAGTTACCATCTAAGGCTATAGAACCCAATTTGTCCTGCTATTTTACCCATAGCTGGAGGGAGAAGAGGATTCATACCTTCCCCAAGGGTATTAGCACGTAAGTGAATATCACTTAAGTTATGTGCCATGCGTAATACACGCTTAGGCGATCATGTATCTTTCTATACATGACTGATGAGGCATATTTTTTCCCGCAGTAGGTTGCCAACTCTCTATGCTTTTGTTCACTAAACTTTGGGATAAGTCACTGGATACTTGAGGATACATGGCGTTGGTCGTATCCAGTGACTTGACCCAAAAAGTTATGAGTTCAATACCTGGCTATTCCGGTGGTGAAAAAAAGCTTGGCGACTTTAGTTAAAGGGAGATAACTGAGACATCCGGAAGAGGCATGACACGTGGAACTAGAACAATCTATCCTTGCTGGACGAAATAAAGGGTTCAGTTCGAACTTCCAATCATCCGAAGAAGGCCGGAATGAACAACGACCGAAACGTCGTGAATAAAGATGAGGACAACAGTCCAAACAATGTAAATAATGTAAATCATTCCAATACCTTATCTCATAAATATAGACAAGAGAATTGCTTTTCCTTTATCGTGTCCGTACACAATTAATTTTCTATCCGTACGCAGGTGGTTTTATCCATTGTCTTAATTTTAATATCGTTCGCAAATACATCAATAGAGGCCAGATACTTTTTGTTTGACTACTGTTCATACAAAGAAGCAATTTAATTGTATCGCTTCTCGAAATGAAATCAAAACAGGGTCCAAGTCAGAAGAGCCAGGTAACAGACAGATACTACACTCTGATCCTAAGTTTAAAAAAAAAAAAAAACTTAACTGCCGCATGTAGAGATATAGGATTAAGATTATAGTGATCGAGGAAGCAACCTCTCGGGATTCGCTTCCACAGAGCTGTTCGAGTGGAACTTCTCTCTCACCGATGGAATAGAGAGGTTTGCTAACTAAAGTCACCAAGCTTTTGTTCACAACTGCAGTAGCCATGTATCGAATTCTTTGGGTCAAATCACTGGATCCAACCAACGCTTTTATCCACTGGACCTCAACCTCAAGGATGTGACTTGATCCAAAGAATTGTGAGTTCAATTCCTGGATACCGCAGTAGTGAACAAAAGCATGGAGACTTTAGTTAAAGGGAGATAACTGAGACATCCGGAAGAGGCATGTCACGTGGAACTAGAACAATCTATCCCTGCTGGACGAAATAAAGGGTTCAGTTTGAGATTCCAATCAGAAGGCCGGGGCGTACAACGGCCGAAACGTCGTGAATATAAGCAATAAAGATGAGGACAACAGTGTAAATAATGTAAATAATATCAATACGTCATCTCATAAATATAGAAAGACAAGAGAATTTTCTTTCGTATATCGTGTCCGTACATAATTCATTTTCTAACCGGATGCAGGTGGTTTTATTCATTTTCTTATTCTTAATCGTATCGCTTCTCAAACTGAAACCAAAACAGGTTCCAAGTCAGAAGTGACAGGTAACGGAGAGATACTACGCTCTGATCCTAGCTTTAAAAAAAAAGAAGCTTAACCACCTCATGTACAGATATAGGATAAAGATTGTAGTGATCGTGGAAACAACCTCTTGGGATTCGGTTCCACAGAGTAGTGATTCGCGGGACGAAGCTGTGCGAGTGGAACGTACTTCTCTCTCACCGATGGAATACAAAGAGAATGTGAGTGGTTTGCTACTATGTAAGTGGTATGGTGTGTCCTTGCCGTGAAGTTTTGAACTGATACAACCGGAGGGGATGTAGTTCGTCCGAACACTTTCCATGGAAGTAGCGATAGAACACCAAGAGACTTGTCACAGCCCGCCTATGAGAGAGAGGCTGAAGAGGAGGAGAGTAATTCGTCACCCACAAGGGTCCGGAGACGCTTTTGGATTCTGGGGAGTGAGGTCGAGACATCTCCCGCCCAAATATGATAAAAAGATATGGATGTTTTCATTTTTTTCGTCCCTTTTGAACGTGCATCGGCCCCTTCCCTGTTTTTTTGACACGCACCGACGTGAACCAGAATCGAGACGAAACGTGGATGATTCAATGGGCTAGTCGGTAGCGTTGGATATTTTGAACTTGTTCAGGGTCTGTACAGTAGAAATTGATAAATATAAAATATTCATATAATGTTTTTTAAAAGATTTTTTTTTGTGGTCTCTGATAATTTAAATTGGTTTTTCTCTTCTTAAAATTATCAGAGAGACCCTTTACTTTATTTATTTCTTTTACGGCATATCAACCTCAGTGGGTTATTTAATGGCGACAAAATCTTTATTTCTGGTAATACTTTTTTTCCCTTCAAAAATATATTTCTGGTAATATTTTTTCATAAAAAATGTATAACTGGTAATTTTTTTTCAAAAATGTATTGGTGGTAATATTTTTTCAAAGATATATTGCTGAAAATAATGTATCGCTGGTAATAGATTTTTAAACAAAGTATTTCTGGTATTAAACCCTATCTTTAAACTTTCATAGTGTTTTGACCACAGTTTGGGTGGGGGGGGTTAACTATTTGCCCATAGCTGGGACCCTAACAGGTGCTACCACCCCGGTTCAGGATGGACCTGGGAACAGCAGCAATTAAATGTGGTTTATCGTCTTACCCAGGACGCGGATGTCGTTTATCGTCATACCCATTATGCAGACGTAGTTTATCATCTTATTCAGGACGCGGATGTAGTTTATCGTCTAACCCAGAACGGCTTCCTTCTGGTGTGGCGTAACGAATAACGGCTTCGAATGAGAAATCGGAAAGCCGAGTTCGAATTCATGTCGGGTTCGTTACTTTCACTTGCATGCAAATACCTTTGGGAAAAGCATGAACCCGCTCCCAGCTATGAATTGAGTGGCATGACAGCCTTCGTCCTTGGTTGGTACACAGTCTACCGAAAGAAACGTCAATCTATTGTGGGAAAATCTTCTGCCTTGTCAGTCACGAAGCGAAAGAGCCATTATCGGCCAACCGTGTATCGCATATAGCCCTTAACCGACTGTTGCTTAATCGCTCCGTCTATGGAATTCTCTACAGGAGGATACTGAGAATTCCACGGAATGGCGAGTTAGTAACAAGAAAGAAAAAACTCCTATACTCAGAATCAGGAAAAAAACAGCTAATATTCCTTGGACATTATAAAGCGAAACAAGGACTTGGAAAAATTAATCCTTACGGGGCATATTGATGGGAAGAGAGATAGGCGAAGACAGAGAGCCACTTACATGACAAGCTTGTGTCAATGGATGGCGGAACGGAGTCGGGAGACCGAGGGCACGTGAAACAGAGAAAAAGTAGAAAAAGAAGAATGGCTTGGAATTTGATGAAAATAAGAAAGAGAAGAATTATCGGTTGCTTTGAGCAAAGAACGAATCTCAAGAAACGAGAGGGTGTAAAGGATACTATATAACGAGACCATCTTCTCACACAACCGCCATGATTGACAGTATTGCCGAAAATTCGACACCCAGGGAAAAAGAATCAATCTGATTAAAGCGAGGCGGTTTGATTGGGCGGAAGCCGAGGCTATAACTCAATTACCAAACACCAGGTGGCATTGTATATCTCGTTCACCATTTCGCTCGCGTTCTTACTCTCGTTTAAGATCTCGTTTCGTTCGTGCTCTCTGTTCTTTTCTAGTTTTGGTTCTTTATCTCTAGCTTCATCTGCCTCTGGCTCTCAGGCATCCATTATACCGTTCACTCTCTTGTTCGGCTTTCTTTCTTTCTTTCTTTCTTTCTTTCTTTCTTTCTTTCTTTCTTTGTCATTTATAATCACATTCAATCCCTTACTTTAAGATCGCGTTTCATCCTTGCTTTCTTTATCTTTTCTTACTTTCTTTTCTTTTTTACTTCCTTTTGTTTCTTTTGCTTTTTCCTTTCATTATCATTATTTCTTTCATTCTCTTTTTCTTTCTTTCTTTCTTTCTTTCTTTCTTTCTTTCTTTGTAATTTCATTTTCTTTCCTTTCTTTCTTTTAATTCCATTATCATTTCTTTCTTTCTTTCTTTCTTTCTTTCTTTCTTTCTTTCTTTCTTTCTTTCTTTGTAATTTCATTTTCTTTCCTTTCTTTCTTTTAATTCCATTATCATTTCTTTCTTTCTTTCTTTGTAATTTCATTTTCTTTCCTTTCTTTTAATTCCATTATCATTTCTTTCTTTCTTTCTTTCTTTCTTTCTTTCTTTCTTTCTTTCTTTCTTTCTTTCTTTCTTAGTCATTTATAAGCACCTTCAATCCCTTACTTTAAGATTACGTTTTACCTTTGCTTTCTTTATCTTTTCTTACTTTCGTTTTCTTTTCTTCTTTTCTTTTTTTTCTTTCATTTTCTTTCTTTCTTTCTTTCTTTCTTTCTTTCTTTCTTTCTTTCTTTCTTTCTTTCTTTCTTTCTTATTCTTTTATAATCACCTTCAATCCCTAACTTTAAGATCGCGTTTCATCCTTGCATTCTTGTCTTTTCGAATTTTCATTATTTTTCTTACTTTCTTTTTCTTTCTTTATCTTTTTCTTTCATTCTCATTCTCATTCTTTCTTTCTTTCTTTTATTCTTTCTCAGTCATTTATAATCACCTTTAATCCCTTTAATATCGCCTTTCACCCTTGTTTATTTTATTTTCTTCCTTTTCTTTCTTTTTTCTTTCTTTCCCATTTTTCTTTTTTCTTTCTTTCGCTCTTTCTATTTCTTATTTTTTTCTAACACTATCATTTTCTCTTTCTCTTTCATCTATAATCTCGTTCATATTCGTGCTCTCATTTAAAATTATGTTTCTTTCTTTCTTTTTTCTTTTCTCACAATCCCCCGTAAACTCGTTCATGCTTTCGTTTTGTCGTGCATTCTTTTCTTTGTTAATTTTCTACCTTCTTTATGTATTTCTCTTCCTTTTTTTTCAATCTCCTAAATTCTCTCATTGTTCCAACCCATAATTTCGTCTATTCTCTTAGTCTCGTTCAATATCTCGTTCAATATCTCGTTCAATATCTCGTTTGTTTGTTTTGTTTTTTTTTCTTCCACATTTCTTCTCTCTTTCTCACGCTCAGAGTCATCTATAATTTCGTTCATTCACTTAGTCTCGTTTAAGATCTCGTTTCGTTTCAGGTTTCTTTGCTAATTTTTCCTCTCTGTCGCTTACTTTCTTGTTGGGTCATCTATAATCTCGTCCATATTCTCGTTCTCGATGTTATTCTCGTTTAAGACATCATTCCGCTTCAGCTTGGTTTTCGTTCCCTTTTGGCATTTCTTTTCCTAGCTCTGTCCATCTTTTCCCGTTTTCTCTTTTCCTACCTTTCACACACACACACACGCACACACGCACGCACACACACACATACTCACATACGCACGCATGTATACGAACGTGTATACACCCACACATACAGATACACACACACACACTAACTCAGACACAAATTATAAAAAAACACATATATGCGCAAAGACACACGCACACACATACAAACACGCACAATGAGACACCCGCATATACACACACAGATATACGCTCGCGCACAGTAAGACACTCACACACACTCACAGAGACATACGCGCACACAAACACATACGAACACACACAAGCACACGTGCACAAACACATACGAACACACACAAGCACACGTGCACACCGACATACGTACACACACACTCACAGACACATGCATGCAGACAAGCACACACATGCGCATATGCACACGCGCACACGCATACACGCGCGTGCACACACTGACACAGACACACACATACACACACCTACACGCATTCACACACACGATACAGTGAGAATCGTCAGTTTGTCTCATTTTCTTTCTTTCTATTTCGTTTTCGGTCGCCATTTTTAGTTTGTACTTTTAACTTTCTTAGTGTTTTTTTCTGTTACTTTTCTTCTGTCTTTCTATCTACCGTTCTTCTATAATCTCGTTCGCCTTCTCGTTTGTGCTGTTAATCTCGTTTAAGTTCTCTCTCTCTCTCTCTCTCTCTCTCTCTCTCTCTCTCTCTCTCTCTCTCTTTCTCTCTCGTTTTTACGCGGAAACGTCTTTAGAGGTCAGGAAAATCACAAAGACTGTTGGATGTTACTGGAAAAAAGCCAGAGAAATGAGGCAATGTAATTGATGTTAAAGACAAAATCTTGATGATTCTAAGTGGTGGGAGGAATCTTCAGTGGTCATAGCATGATGTTTCAGAATAATCGGAATAAAGTGAAACAAAAATGAGAGTGAGAATTACTTGGCCATTAGGTACGCTAAAAAGAAATTTTAATCAGTGTGAAATTGAATGGAAATTGTTTTTTTCTTTTCTTTTTTTTTTGTTGTTTTAGATCATACCACCCCATTCAAGAAATCTGACCAAATGTAACTTCCTTCTTACCAGTGGAATGTTAAGAGAATATGGATGGTTCGCCCTGGTCTAAATGGTATGGTGGGTCTTAGCTGTCTGAGATCGTGGAATGATGATATGTAGTTTATCAATGTTATTATGACTAATACTAATTCTCGCATATAAATATCTTGATCCTGACACTTCTCTTTAATATTTTTAGGTGTGGGGATCATGGTACTCCTGAACTTCCTATGAGCACTGCATGGTAAGTAATGTTTGTCCCGTTAGTATCCTACCTGGTCCTTGTCCAGCCATCTTTTTATACAATTTCGTTAAATAGGTAGCTCGATGTATTTATCTGCCTCTTCCCTTTGAGTGTTAAATTCTCCATACCCTCTTTTGTTCATAATGCTTTCCATAAACGTCAGCTATCCCATAAAGTGAAAATGTAGTGCACAGATATTAGGCGAACCAGTTTACCGCGGTACCCGGTGTACCGCGGGTGGATGATGAACCCCAAGATTTTGCTCTTGTACCATCAATATCGCTGATTTTCTTAGAAATTCCACCCGATTTTACCAATTTTTGGGGCCATCTTCTTCACGATAGACAGAACAAACCCATCAGATGGGTCCTAATTTGTTTTAATAATTGCACCCCTTGATTTGGATGATCAAAACGGCCCAAATTTTGTGAAATATTAAAACCTTGCCCCTTTCATACCTCATCCAATTGTATTGATAATAATTACACATGATTACTTTATATTTCTATTTCCCGTCTGATCAAAGAGTTCTTATAATATCGGACTAATTAACAGGAATTCAATGACTGCAATCAATTACCCTGGATGGGGTATAAATAGGAGTACTTTTCTCTAGTTGATCATGTTCAATTTGACTATCCAACAGTAGACATCAAGAATCTCTCATAAATAAACAAATATAAATAGCGTTACTAATTAGGGGTCGAAATCAGGAATTCCCGGAAACAAATTTCACGAATAGTTATATTTACCTGTCTATATTTCTGAGATGAGGTATTATGTACACTATTTACATTATTCGGACTATTGTCCTCATCCTTGTCGCCATATTTATTACAACGTTTCGGCCTTTCAGTATCTGTCTATATTTCTGAGATGAGGTATTATGTACACTATTTACATTATTCGGACTATTGTCCACATCTTTGTCGCCATATTTATTACAACGTTTCGGCCCTTCAGTATCTGTCTATATTTCTGAGATGAGGTATGATGTACACTATTTACATTATTTGGACTATTCTCCTCATCTTTCTTGCCATATTTATTACAACGTTTCGGCCTTTCAGTATCTGTCTGTATTTATGAGATGAAGTATTATGTACACTATTTATATTATTGGGACTATTGTCCTCTTCTTTGTAGCCATTTTTATCACAACGTTTCGGCCGTTGTATTCTCTGGTCTTCTTCAGTTGGTTGAAGCAGGTGGTAGATCACTGTGCCATGTGTCCTTCGGGATACATGGCACAGTTAGTTAGATCCAGTGACAGGGCCCAAAGAGTGTGAGTTCAATACCTGGTTAAGGCAGTGGAGAACTTTCAGAGGGGAATTAACAGGAGATAACTGACATCCATTTAACATGGCACGTGAAACTAGAACATTCTAACGCAGTGAGCGAAATAAAGGGTTCAGTTCGACATTCCAACCACCTGAAGAAGGCCGGAGTGTACAACGGCCGAAACGATGTCATAAACATGGCGACAAAGATGAGGACACTAGTCCGAATAATGTAAATAGAGTTATATTTACGTGTAAATTTACATGCTTAATTCGAAAATAACAAAAAATTTTGATAAAATCTACCTTTTTGGAGTTATCGACAATAAAAGTTCGGATTCATTCGTGTCGCGGCAGCCATTACTGGCTTTGTTTGCATATATTTGCTGCGGATCGGACATTTACTTTTCTCGATTATTGCGCACGCACTGATGTAAACAACGCGAATAATAGCTGCCGTGCCTTGGCCGACAACGACACGAATGAGTTCGAACTTTTATTGTCGATAACTTCAAAACGGTAGATTTTACAAAAATTTCCTTGTTATTTTCGAATTAGGCATGTAAATTTAGAATGAAAAAATAACTGTTCGGGAGATTTTTATTAGATACTTAGCGCGGGGCTTAAAAAGCAAATTACCCGAAATTTCTTATGGAATCCTTGGCATAAATTAGTATAATTTTGGGGGGTTCTTTTCGAGCCATTATCTACGGTATATATCGCAAAATAGGGCCCAAAAATCAGGTAGGTGTCCTCCTATCTATCGGCCCCCCACCACGCAGCTACCGCGATTCACTTGCAGCGCTGTTCGGCCATCTTGGACTCCAAGGCCCGCTCTATAGCAGTGGACTACTGTACAATTGTTCTTTTTGCTTCTTAAAACTTCCTCGTTGCTCACATCCTCAGTCCAAGTGTTACAGAGTACGAAGGCCAGGGCCAGAATGGTCAACGATTGGACGGAGTACCTCGTGGGCGTGGTATTCTGACAATGATTGATTGCCTTTGTCTGGGTTTGGGATATAAGTCCAAGAAAGGCACAAATTCAGCAGAGAGCCTCAAGAATTTTGAAGCGTCGATACATTTCCCACACTCAGGATCGAGAGATCGACTTATACCACCCGCGGAAAGACGTTGAGCAAACGTGCAATATGCATTCCCGTGACGTCGTTACTCCCTCTGCCTCTTAGAATCCATGTTGTCACGTCTGTCCCCTCTTCTAATAAAAACGAATAAGAAAAAGAAATCGTCCTTTTTCGTTGATACTATTTTATGTAATGGCGAAGGGATTTTTTTAGCATTGACTGTCACATAGGATGATTGATACTACATGGCAGTTCAGCAGGTTTCTCTTCGTGTCTATTTTCCAGTTGCTTAATACTTTGCTTAGCTTTTGGGAGACATTTTCGGATATGTGTGCCTCATTTTTCTCTGTTAAGAAAATACTTTAATTCCAAAACATTTCTTTTAAATTAGAGGTATAATAAGATTTTGAGAATTCTTCTTTTATCCAACACCTAGGCAATCATTGCTCCCCACAACTTCCTAATTTTTATAGTTATTAGAAATGTATTTTTCTCGTTAGCAGCCCTCCCAGTTTCTACTGTTCTCAATTTTTTATAGTAATGTTCACTCTGTACAAGGCCCGAGGGCCACTCGTGGTAGAGGGTTAAAGAGTAAGAGGCACAGCTTATGCGGATATGTGTAGAAGATAATTGTTAAGCCTTGACTTGTGTAGGTTAATATTGTAGTGATCAGGGAAGCATCCTCTTGGGAGTCGGTTCCACAAAACAGCGGTTCGTGGGAAGAAGCTACTCGAGTGGAACTTATATCTCACCTGGGGAATACAAATGGAATGAGGGTCGTTCGCTACAATGGGCGTGGCATGACGGGTCTTAGCTGTGGAACTAAGGATCGTAGTTCGTCTAGACACTTGCTATGGAAATAGCGATAGAGCACGGATAGAGACGTTTCATCTGTAAGAAATGTTTTTGATTAATTCATTCATATTCTACGGCTTATCGACCCTTTGTAGGTTATTTAAAGCCAGGTTATTCAAAACTAAATATTTTCAGATTGTAAGTTTGTTTTTTTTTTTTTTTTTTTTTGTAATAAGGATTTTGTGATAAAACTCTTGCTAATTAACACATACCTAAGGGAGAAGTGATGGATCCATGCCTTTCCCAAGGGGGTTTGCGCGTGAGTGAATATAACGAACCCAACTGGAATTCGAACTCGGTTCCCCGATTAACAATTCCGAGCCATTATCTATTACACCACCTGCACATCTAAACTTACAGCATCTGTTACTTTCAAGCGGTCACCCATCTAGATACTGAACAGGCCCAATGTTGCTTAACTTCGTTGATCGTAGGGGAACCGGTTTTTCAACGTGATGTGGCCTTGAAGCCTGTGAGAAGGGCTTACGAGGTGGAAATTAATTCGTCACCCACAAGAACGCGGAGCTACAAAGAACAGGAAGTTGTGGAGACACATTATCGCTCACGTCCTTAAGAGAATTTGCATCTCACCAATGGAATACGAAGGGTATAAAGGTGGTGCGCCATTATGTGTTGGTTTTAGCCTTAAAGGTTAGGAGTAGTGGATCTAAAGAATGGACACTTTCCATGGAAAAATCGATAGAGGAGAGACGCTTTTTGGACTATCGATAGTAGAAAGTAAAGACTGAAAAACTCCCGCCCACAAATCTCCAGCACCTTCCTCAGTATCTTCATAGACAACAATTCTACAGTAGTCAGGACAATGTCGAACCTTCCTCGAATCTCAAATTATTATTATTAAGACAGGGTGCGTCAGAAATAGCTCCCATATAATGGTAAGACATTAGTGGAAATGGTGTGTTCATCTAGCAAATGCCTTACCACACTGTGGAGGGTATTTCTGGGATATATCTGTGAGACGTGTTTCTGCTGCACCCTGTACAAATATTTCATGCACTTACATGTTCAAGCCAGATGTCTGGTGATTATTGTTGTATAGTTAATGACAAAGACTTTCCACAGTTATCTCGCACCGTCCGCAGTATTCCCATAGATCTCAGTACTTCTGTGATTTAAACAGCGTCAATCCTTCCTTGAATAGTCAATTAACTCTATTAAAATTTTACTTGTCGCTCCCTCTGTTCTTTAGTTAGTTAGTTCTTTAGAGAGTTCGCACAACCGCTACGCCCTGCCAAAACCACATGAATACCGGAACTGGCATATTGGAGACGCTACTTGGTTTCAGTAGGAAAATGAATGAATGACAGAAAGAAAGTGTTGTAGCCAAAAATAAAGACACAAGAGAGGAATTGAGTTAAACAAATATATTAACAGAAACAGTAATACAAACATATACAGACGAGAGTGTTACAGCAAGAATGTTCGGTCCGACTGCCAGAGCTAACTGCTGTAAATTCCCCTCTCAAAGGGCAGTACCTGCTCCTATTTATAGATGGGAGAGTCCATGCGTGCGTGGGCAAATTACCATAAAAGAAAGAAAGAAAGAAAGAAGTGTTTAATAGGAATATGACAGACCAGGATTTTTCATTCATTTGACTTAGTTATGTAGTGCCAATATCACATAAATAATGGACTATACTATTTTGACATGTGAAAACACAGAACTTACATTTCAGAAATGTTACTTGCCCTGAAGATCTATTAAGTGAAACCTTGGTAGGTAGTTTCTGGCTCACTAAGATTATATATATATATCTATCTATATCTATCTTTCTATCTATCTCTCTCTCTCTCTCTCTCTATATATATATATATATATATATATATATATATATATATATATATATAACCTTTCATTTAAACCTGTTTTGTTGAATATGGCAGACCAGGATTTTTCATTTACTTGGCTTAGTTATGTAGTGCCAATAACTCATAAATAATGGACTATTCTATTTTGACATGTGAAAACTTACATATTAGAGATGTTACTTGGTTTCAGTGAGAAAATGAAAGAAAGATAGAAGTATTTAATTTCTCCTGCTAATATCTCATAAATAATGGACTATTTCCGTTTTGATAGCTTGTGAGAAGACAAAAGACATATCAGAAACACTACTTGGTTTCAGTAAGAAAATGAAAGAAAGAAGGGAAGATGTTTTTTTCAGTGAAATGAAAAAGTTGTCAGTTTCAAATCTTTTCATTTGTACACTCTTATTTATAAATAAATTTATTAATAAAAATGTTTGCAAAACATGTATTGGGTTTTATTAAACAAGTTATATTTAGACAGCAAGTATTTATCTAATCAAGTTTTATTAAATTCAACCAACAAAGGTTATTACTCAAGAGAAACATCTGATGCTTGGCTATTTGAAACAATTTTGATTAAATAATTGGTTTGATCAATAGGATTTTCAATGACAATGGAAACACTTTAAAAACAAAGCTTAAATTGTCAGATGAATCAGCATGACAAAAAATATAAAGACAAGGATGCTACTATGAATAATTGATGGAATGATGTTAATATTTCATCATGAAACTGTAAACAAATGCTACTGAAAAATATGTGTTGCTATGTCAGTATGCAAGCAAAAGGCTGATTTTATATGGCTTGTTTTCTCATTTTCAGTGACATTTAAAGTACATACTCAATTTACTAGATGACATTTCAGGCCGAGCTTGGGCATCATTTTAGAGTCTTCTTTTTCCATGCGCCGTGTCCCTTCAGGACATTGGCGATCATGGCTCTCCATAATTTCCTGTCCTTTGTAGATTTTAATGAATTTTACTTTTTTCTCATTTCTCCTAAAACTTGTTCTGTCATTCATTTACTCAAGCTTACTAAATAGATTAGACACTGTTTTCCTCTGTTTCTCTTGTCTTTAATCTGTCCTATGAGTATCAGATTTTCCAAGCCTTCTCTCCTCATAATGCGTCCTAGAAATTTCAACCATCTCTTCTTGATGTTAAGTAGGTTTCATTTTTGTTTCCATTTTCTCTAAAACGCTACTTGGCTTCAGTGAGAAAAGGGAAGAAAGGAAGATAGAAGTATTTATGTCTGTTTCAGTGAAATAGAAAAGAGTTGTCAATTTCAAATATTTTCATTTGTACCCCCGCCTTACTTATAAATACATTTATTGTTAAAAATCTTTGCAAGAAATGTTTTCAGAGAGTTATTATTACTGGATATGTACACGTGACCGTGTGGTTAGAACTTTCGTTTTGTAACCGTGAGACCCGGGTTCAAATCTCATCATGGTCGATTTCTCAGGAAGGTGAATTTTTCATGTTATGATATTTATTTCTGCTAAAAATACAGAAAATGTGGCACAAGGCTTAAAAAGGGGGTGGGGAAAAGGACGGTCTTCATCTGTCTTAACTTTAAACTTAGCTATCCACAAGCACTGACCCAAACATACAAACAATATTCCTAACACCAAAACAACACACTTTTACTAACCTTTCTTACTACAGCCACCGTAATACCTCATTGTCTCTATGAACATCCTAAATAGTCTTCATATGTACGAATCGTCGTCTGTTTTAGGGAGAGGAATAAAACAACAAGTTAAAAAATCCCCAATGATTATGTACAATATGAATATAATCTATTTAGAAGAAACTAAACAAAATCATATTTGTAATACCCCCCCCCCAATCCTTAAATGTGGCAGAAACATCAGTTAACTGGACGAAATCAATGCAGGACTATAAAAAAAATGTAAAAAAAAAAAACAATCATTCATCCCTAGCACTCACACAGACACGCACTCATTCAGATACGACAACAAAAACGAAAAACACACGGGCGAAAAACGAAAAGCGCCCTGCATCCACCAGAGAACTGACATCACTGATGGGGGATTAAACTAAAGAAAAAAATAGGGACAGAAGTAAAAGGGGCCAATGAGTAAACACACCCTAGCTAAGTTTACTGGGGAAAAAAAGAAAAAGTAAAAATTCAAAAAACAAAACCTATATCTATCCGTCAGGGTGGAGACGGTCCCTCCTTTAGAAAATGCCTGAAAACCATACCACGAGTACCTTGTGAGTGAAATTGGGAAGAAGGAACTATTTGAGAGCCGTCGATGTTTGTGCAAGCACGAAGTCACAAGCCATCGTGACTGAGGGTTTAAGGGTACTGGCCTTATTCAGATAATGCCAAGATCCGATCAGCATAATTGTATTATAAACCACAGGTGGGATCTGTAGGTGTTGAACAAACACAAAATGTGCCTGAGAAGGCGTCTGTAACAGGGATTGGTTAGCCGCCCTAGTAGAGAAGCATCTTCGGATACTAGTGGCCATTATAATTATTATTACAATTATTTCATGTATTTTCACGTACTCATCAGATATCTGATGCGTATCGCTGTAGATTGATTGACAGCAAATCTCCAGCACCTTCCTCAGTATTTTCGTAAGCCTCAGTCTGCTGTGGTCTGGACAGTCTCAATCCTTCCTTCAACCGCCAACTATTATTATTACAATTATTTCATGCATTTACATGTTCACATAAGGTGTCTGGTCGTTTTCCTCGTAGAACGAGTGACAGAAGTCCACCTGAAATTTACAGCACCTTCCTCAGTATTCTAGTAGATACCAGCAATCCCGTGTTCTGTATAGTCTCTATCCAGCCCCGGATTCAAGATTTCCAATTGCGATTCCAATCATTTATAGGCACGACTATAAATTATTATATTCCATATTTTTCTAATCTCTCGGGCGAGGTTCTATTATTACTGTTATTATTATTTACTAATGATGATAGATACAGTGAAAATCTATTGTTGCTGAGCTATTATTTCCACATCCATGGTTATTGATATTTTCGCTTCTTTCCAAGTAAGAAATACAGTCAAACTTTCATCAGGGCAGACGGTCAGTTGGATGAGGTAGCAGCCAGTAGGCAGCAGGTGGTAGCGACGTGTAGGTGGGGGTTGAAGAAAGATGGCGATGCCTTTTGTAAATTATTCAACCCAAGGAGCCGACACCTGTCACATGACCGCGTTAGCCGCGGGAAATAATCTGTGACTTCAGGCTTATTCAAATACACACCTCAACGCACAAAACGATTGCTCAAATGTCTCTCTCTCTCTCTCTCTCTCTCTCTCTCTCTCTCTCTCTCTCTTGCTGTTAGCTTTTCTTACTCACTTTTTCTTTTCTTTCTCACTCTCTTTCTTACTTTCAGTGACAACTAGTTTATACCCTTCTATAGTCCGTCACTGATATTTAGTGTTCTCGTTAATACATATTAAAATTGATTATCTCTCATTAATTTCTTGTTTCCTTTCTTTCTTCAAGTCTTTACTCTGGGATTCGTTTTTCATGCTCCCTCTCGTTCTCACTTTCTTCCTTTCTTTCTCACTTTCTTTCTTTCTTTCTTTCTTTCTTTCTTTCTTTCTTTCTTTCTTTCTTTCTTTGTTTCTTACTCTCTGT